ATGGCGGAATCTAGAGAAAATAAATTACATAAGAAACCACTCCCTATACATGCTTCTCGGCCTGAACAGAAGACAGAGATGGAGGTTCAAAATTTTGTGCTTACCTTTCACTAGCGCACTAAGGAGACCAAATGGACAACACTTCAGCCCTTAATGATTCACGAAATAGCCAGCCCCACTCTTCAAACAGTGGTCGTGCGGATACAATAGGGAGAGGGAAATTAACTTGAGTTAGTTTATGAACGAATATCTCCTTTAAAGAAGGTGACAGAGGTTGCCACACATAAGTAACAACAAGACAAAACAATGTGTTACCTCTTGGAACAAATGGTGCACCGTCGAATGAAGAAGGCAGGGACAACGTGTGATTAAATTTTTGGTATCACTCTAAAGAGGTCCTCGGTTTTCAGTTAGGATACAAGGAAAAAGTGAAATAATTTCTTGAGTTCCCTCTGTACATATGCTTCGGTTTTGAAGTGTGAGAAGGAATGAAAATAGTAGATAGTGATGACAATTAATTTGTGTTGAAGTAGGAGGAAAGTTGTGTAATTTTGTGGTAGAGAAAGAGGGTGGTACAGTTGAGTGTCCCGAAACTCAAATTAAAGGTTTGATCTAGCTCCTTTCCTACCAAATCAGCGCATGAGAGATGGGAGGGGTGAAGTCTTAAGTGCCAATTTAAAGAAGAAATAAACCACAAATGCCCAAGCCATTCTTCTCACTTCAGCGCATGAAGGGGTGAAGGTAAGTGCAGAATTTTCCAGCCAATGGCAATACATGCACACTGCATTCCCCTTCCCTTATTGGGCGCAGGTGTTAAGGCTGAGTGGTGTTAGAAATTAGGCTAACTAAGATTGACATAAAGCTGAATTTTGATTGTCCACCCAAACAAGTTATCAGCTTGCTCCTCTGCCCAAAACAGCGCATCGTACAAGGAGATAAGAGGTGTGAGTTGGTTGCCATGTGTGATAGCCAACCAATAAAGAGTGACCTTGTGGGATGACTAGGCTAATATAGAATTTGGACAAAATGAAGTGAAATTGGGCTGATTACATGAGCACCTCCTAGGGTCTTAAAACTCGGCCCACAGATTTGTGGGGGAATAAGAGTATCCCAGCCCAATTTGATACTAACACAATAGTCAACCCAATAAAATCATGCATTCCAAAGCCCTATTTAATTCTTGTAGTTAAAATTCATATTTTATTTCTTATGGTATGATTTATACATTCTTATACCTTAGAATTAAAGCTTCATAAGTCTAAAATAAATCCTCTCTTAGTACTATAATTCAATAATCTCCTACTTAGTTTTAATCCTAGGCTAGTTCTCAATAATTTCGAAGGCCAACAAACATTACATATATATATATAGATATATATATATCAAATTTAATTTTTCCACACGTGCATTCTTATCCTTACGGTCTTTTGTGTATTTTCCTAATTACATGGGATGTTACATTTAGTGACTTAAGTCCCTCATAAACCATAATCATAGCATATTAATCCTTGCTATTATTTGTATTTATACTTTCAACAGTAGCACTGACTCCCTAGGGTATCATACTCTAATTTGAGCTTTCCAACACATCAGAACTGGTTTCTGGTCTTTCTGACAGGGGGTAATCGATTACTCCACACGGTAATCGATTTCCATGAATAAGCTAATCGATTACCATGCACAAAGTAATCGATTACCACGCGGACAGAACACGAAAACTATAGAATTTTTTGCATAATCCGTGGGTTCGATGGCTTCCAAGGGTTCAAGGTCCAATTTTTCATCAAACAAAAGTTCAAACCACATGATTAAACATAACTATATCATATTTTACATGATTCATTAAGGTTTCCACTTTTCTCTTCACAAACTAACACATTTTCAAGAAAATACAAGGGGAATAGTTTGTAGTGACCTATGGACTTTTGAAAATAGAAAAATGAGGAAGCTTTGAAGGTTCGCCAAGCTACTGACTTGGTGGTGCACGAAAATCCCACTTAAAGGTAGGTAATTTCTTCACAAAATTTGATTCTTGGAGCTTCCTAGAGTGTAGTAATGGTTCACACTCTAAGAACTCAAGTGGTTAGCCCTCCGTCTATGAAAACATCAACTCAAACTCTCAAGACATGATATTTCCCTCACGGACTCAAGTTTTACAAGGAATGATGATGGTTTTAGGGCATAAGATTAGAGAAATATGGTGAAAGATGGATTCTTGGCTAGGTTCCATGCAAAAAGCTCATGTCTTCAAGAAGAGAGAAATGTGGCAGCCATGGGGATCAACCTTGGGGGTCAGAAAACTGACCTAAGGCTTTGAGCAAATGGCTATTTATATAAGTGTGCGCACTAATCAACAGTATTAGTTGTAATAGCTCCGGTAATCATTTTCCTACCAAAATTTATATTTCTGAACATAGATATTTTTATAAGAATAATCATATTTTTGTTATAATTTTTCGAAACACTTCACTGGTACACGTTTTATACATAGCTGGCATTAGTTTTGACATCATAGCTTATTATTTTTACCCAAAACTTGATATCCTTGACTTAGATATTTTTCTAGGAATATTTATATTTTTATTATAATTTTTCAGAATACTTCACCGGTATGCATTTATATCGTGAAACAGAACTGATATCCGCACTTTTAATCAGAAAATCGATTTAAGCATTATTCGACCTTCTCGATAATTATTCTAATCTTTCTATATTTATCCAAATTCAATTATGAAATTATTTCCTAAACTTATAATTAAATTATTTAAATTCCTAATTTAATGGTGCAGATTCTTACACTTGGACTATCAAGCCTACCAAGCCTTCAAAAAAAGACATATTTCTTTTGTAGGCTCCTAACATGCCACCTGACTCATTTACACGCCTACAGTGACCCATCAAAGAGTACAGTCTGACACTAGGCCTACATTGTGCTACCCAACTAGGCCTAACAATACCAATATATGCCAAAAGGGACTCATATATAATGATTACAAAGGGCTAATCATATTAATTAAAATTGAAATATTCGTTACCCTGATTAACTTTGAAATACAAGACTAATTAATTAACATTGCCCACAAATAGAAAATTTTCCAACAAAATTATCTAACTCGAACATAACACGCTTTTGTTCACAGGTCCAAAATTGAAATCTAGACATAACTCGCCTCGGGTTGCGAGTCACACGGGTTGACACAAAATAATAAAAATAGAACGAAAAAACTAAATGACATGTGTGGGTTGACCTGTGATCAGCGTTTTAAAACTCGAACCAGTCATAGACTCGATCAAGGTACTGGGTCATTGGTTCAACCGAGTAACCGGATATACTGTTCATATATTAAAAAAATATTAATATATTACTTATAATAATATGAAGAAAATGAGTGGTAATAAATGCTATAAGTGAAAGAAGAATGTTATCTCTATATACAACAGAAAGTGGCAACATTATATTTTTTTATCTTAACAGTTTGCATAATTTTTAATTTTACAATCAAATCCTCATAAAGGTAACTAGAATGTGTAAAAATAAAAGAATAATATTAACTAAATGTATTAAATAAGAGAAGTAATATTAACTGAATTATGTAAAATTGGCGCATTCCATCATCTCTCTTGAGTCCAACCCTTTACGGGAGGTATAAGAAATTTGTGAATCAATGTTAAAAATGGATCTCGCAAATCAACGAATATAACAAGCTGGTTAAAAAGTGAGATAGAATAAGATCATCATCTTCAAGATTTTATGCACTTTGAGACGATACAGAGCAAATGTCAGATTAAAATTTCTGCATTATGGATATTTCTTTATAAATATAAAAGCATAACCGATGAAAATAACAATATCAATTATCCAAATGCTTTCATAAAATATAGACTTTTGCTCAATTATATAATATAATACAGAAAAATGTTTCTGCAGTTACTGCAGATAAGTTATCTGTACTTACTCACAAAATGACGTCGTTTTGGTGTTAAAATTTTAAAAAATTTAACTATAAAGACGATTATAACCGTGAAATAAATTAAAATTACAAAACACCTTGATTTCAGCCCCAAAATAACGTCGTTTTGGGCTCAATACAGATAATTTATCTGCATTTATTGCAAAAAAAATGAACCCAATATATTAATAGTAAGAAAAGAATGAATGCTCATCGAGGGATAAAAAGTTGGCTATTATACATAGTCCCAACCAGAGCTTTGTTTCTTTTTTATTTTCTTAAGTTGAAAAATCAAATTGTTTTTAGGATCTTCCTTTAGTTTCCGGTTCATGATGCAGGTCCAACTTGTTTAAGAATTTCCCCCTTCTTTTGTTTGAATAAGAAGCAAACTTAAAAAAAAAATAGGTATTAAAAAAAGGGTCAATCAGGTTTTATTTAACCTACCGAGTCACCGAGACTTGGCCGGGTCGACCGGTCTAAACTGAGTCAAGTGCATGATCTGTCGAAATAGCCACCCGAACCTTTCGGTCACGGGTCACCGAGACCCGTGTCAACTCGGCCGGGTCGATTCAAGTTTTAAAACACTGCTTGTGACACATAACAAGTTGTGTCAAAATCATCAAAAAAAAATTTATTTTTATTTTTTGGAAAACCGGTTTATACGCGGGTTATGCGAGTCAACCTGTGACACGATATGACAATAGTTCGTGTCATTTACCTATATCCATACACGACTCATTTTATCCCACAGGTTGACATAATCCATATTTAATGCGGGTCAACTAGCGGGTCATGACACATTTTGTCATCCCTAATTTTTTTTTAAAGTGTTGTTTTTTAAAGATTTTTTTTTAAGTTAAGAGATATTTTTTATATGGATGGATATTTAAAAAATATTGTTAAGTGTTAATTATATCATGTCTTTTGGGCCAAAAGTATACTAAATATTCATGAATATGGTTAAAGACATGGTGTATATTACTAAATGCAAAAGACTTTGGAGTTTCTCATGTTTGATATTATAGTGACTTAAAAATATATTGGTTTCAGGTTTAAATTGCTATTATGGAGCATTGGAGCAATGGTTAAGCTAGAAGGACTTAAAGCGATAAATGAGGAGCAATCATTTAGTGCAAATCTTCTTGAAGCTGTATCTCAGCTTATTTTTAGTATCCAAAGATGGATTTGGATTTCGTGTTCTTCGTCGAAGTTGTAGATCTGTTTTTTATCTTTCCAACGAGACCAAGATCACATCAATTAGACGATTATAGCTCGAGTTATACCCAAAATACGAAATCAACACATTAACTCGCTAAATAAACTCGCTATAGTGAGTTAAAGAGCGAGCATCACTTATTTTTCATCTTAAACTCGCTAGTTTTTCTCTCTATAGCGAGCAACACAGTGAGCAATGTCATTTTTGAAAGCCCATGGATCTTCTGCGATAAAAGATACACTCTAAGACTTTTCTAATCACTTTTGACAGCTGAGGATGACTTTGGAGAGGCAGAGGAGCTTTGTTATAGACCAGAGAAGGGAGAGGAATGGTTAAAGCTTCACCGTGGAAACCAATTACCTCGTTCTTTTATGTTTTTGTTTTGTTTTTCATCTCTTTGTTTAGTTTTCCTGACTATGTTAGGCTAGATTCTTTATTATAGTTTGGGTTAATTAGATGGAACCAATGGATTCCTTTTGATATTTATGCCTTTCTTGTAATTGATATTTAGTTTTATGTTATGCAATTAATCTGTTTTCCATTCCTAGCTTTGTTTATGAACTGATCACTCATAGATGAATATATGAAACTTGCATGACAATAGGGATATTGGTGTAGGATTCTGATTGTTAATTGCTAGGTTTTGCTTGATCTGGGGATAGACTTGTGAAATTTATGACCTTTAATTCTTGTTCTTAATGCTTGCCATAGGAGAGATCACTAAGGGATTATGATTTTGAATAGGGTAAATGATTGAATCACCAAGGGATTGAGGTTTAATTAATTTAGAAAGAATTGTCAATAAGATGAATTGAATGTTAATTATAGAAAACAGTAGATTCTTTAAAAGACATTGGGGAAATCAGCACCCTAGCTAGCTATGCTTTGCATTTTTTATTTCATACAGTTCTTGATTCTTGGTTCTTGATTATTGTTCTTGTTAATTAATTGTTATTTTTAGTTTGCGTTTTATAATTCAAATCATATTCTCAAAAATCCTTAAGACCGATCCAACTTTGATAGTGTAAAACTTTGATAGTGTAGATAAATTATTGCTTGATAGATTAATTTTTGTGAAAATAATACTTTACTCTTCATTTTGTTATTTGTACGAGTGATACACTTGTCGTGATCTCAACAAATACTTTTAAGTAAACATCATAATTTTATTTGCAAAAAATAAGAAATATTGGCCTCCAGAAAAGCACCATTAAAAAGTTTTCTTCCAAACTTTTTTTTTCTTTTTCAAATGTTGATCCCGATAATACCATAAAAATAAAAAAATACTTTTATTTTGAATGTGAAGGTCCCAGTCATTATCGGCTGGCCAAGTGCTGGAAAGCAAAAGTTTATGACATGCGTCTCTCACTTTGAATTGCTTATGTATCTCTTAATAAAGATGACGTGACAATAACAAACAAGATGTCCTATAATGAAAAGAGCTCATAAGATTTTAAGCCATTTGCTAGGAGTGACTACTATTGAGAGATTTCCATAGTTTTTAAGAACCTTCAAGCAAAGCATATGTAATGTATATGTCACATCACTCAAAGGGTTGTTTTAATTATGAACGCGAGTACGGAATTTGTGGTTAAACAGATAATTACATATACAAATATTAATTTTTCTGACTTAGAAATATAGTCGCAATAAATGTTCCAGCATGTGAATTTCTTAATCAATTCCTATATATGATATAATATGAAGGAGTAGAAATGATGCATTTTACAATGATAAAGCATTACATGCAATCAACGTTTTATCTTTTATATGTAACAATATCACTAATTAATCAAGTTAATAAATTACAATTTGACTAGGTGAATCTGGCAATTAGCCTAGTTGATGAAAAACATGTTAATTAGTATTACAATTTCCAAAAAAAAAATGGTTAGTATTAAAACATTTTAAGATATTAATTAAATGTTTCCCAAATTATGAATTGCCAAAGAAAATTAGACAAGTTTAAAAATAACATCTTCCCTTCATTAGCATCAGTCACTTTCTTTTGGTTAATAGTTTAGTGCATTTGTTTCGAATGAAATTTGCGATTATATGTCTCACCTCTCAAGAACAAGATTCAGTTAAACAAAATATTACTTGTGAAGAAGCAAGAATCATAAAAGAAAACTTCATTGAATGAATTACTGAATCAAAATTGAAAATTTACATTGACTACTGATATATTTATATCAGTTATTAACAACTAACTAACTGTAAACAGAGTTAACTAACTATAACAGAGTTAACTAACTAACTAATTATAATTCCCAATACCCCCCTCAAGTTGGGAGTGTTATATCAACCAATCCCAACTTGGAAATATTCTCTTAAAAAGGTGCTGGATGCAAGGATTTTGTGAAGACATCAGCAAGTTGGTGTTGGGAAGTAATAGGAAGCAGCTTCAAAAGACCAGTATTTATCTTTTCTCTTGTTATATGACAATCAATGTCAATGTGCTTGCTACGTTCATGAAAACTAGGATTCTGAGCAAGATGAACTACAGATTGATTATTAGAATATACCGGAACAGGTTGAGTCAAAGGAATGCCAAGATCTTGAAACAAATAAGCAAGCCATTGAATCTCACATGTTAAATTTGCTAGTGCACAATATTCTGCTTCAGATGAAGAATGAGAAACCGTATTTTGTTTCTTGGAACGCCAACAAATTAAGGATGATCCAAGGAAAACACATATTCCAGTGACAGACTTCCTAGTATCCGGGCAACAAGCCCATTCACTATCAGCAAATCCAGATAAAGAAAGAGAATTCACTGCAGGAAAGAAAAGGCCTTTACTAGGAGAAGCCTTGAGATATCGAAGGACATGACAAGCTGCCATATAGTGAACTTGTGTAGGAGCAGCCACTAATTGGCTCAATTGCTGAACAGAATGTGTAATGTCTGGTATTGTGGTAGTGAGGTATAACAATCTGGCCACTAATCAACGATAAGAAGCAAGATCAGAATATGGTATACCTTGGTCTTGGCTTAGCTTGTGAGAAGGAGTTAATGGTGTGGAAACTGGTTTGGCTACAAGTACACCAGAATCAGCTATCAATTCAAGAGCATATTTGCGTTGATTGAGAATGAGACCATGTTTAGATCGAGCGACTTCCAAGCCAAGAAAATATCTGAGTTGACCCAAGTATTTGATGCGAAATTGGTTGTGTAAGGAAGACTTAACATGATTTATTTCTGTCATATCATTCCCAGTAAGAACAAGATCATCAACATACACTAATAGAGCAGTAAGTGATGTAGCAGTCTACTTGGTAAAAAGAGAATAATCAGCCATGGATTAGGAATAACTAAGTTGACATAATGTAGAAGTCAATTTTGCGTTCCATTGCCGGCTTGCTTGTTTCAAGCCATAAAGTGATTTTTCCAATTTGCAAACCATATTAGCTGAAGGACAGGTGAGACCAGGAGGTAATTGCATATAGACCTCTTCATAAATATCTCCATGGAGAAAGGCATTATCAACATCAAGTTGTTCTAAATGCCGATTTTGAGCAATAGCAATGGCAAGAAGTGTTCTAACTGTTGTCATTTTTGCTACTGGAGAGAAAGTTTGAAAATAATCAACCCCTTCACATTGAGTATAATCTTTAGCAACCAATCGTGCTTTGTAACGATCCACTGAACCATCTGGTTTCCTTTTGATTTTGTACACCCATTTACAGCCTATTGGTTGTTTGTTTGGTGGAAGTTCAATCAGTTTCCATGTATTGTTTTATTTCAAAGCTTGAAGTTCAATTGACATAGCATCTTGCCAGCAAGGAATAGAAGCAGCTTGTTTGTAGTTCATTGGTTCAGTTGTGGTCAATAGGTTATTGTAGAAAGCAGTATAGGTTTTAGAGCATTTATTATAAGAAAGGAAATATGATAAAGGATATGGGTTTACATAGGACATACCTGATGATGAATTTGTGTTAACTAAACTGGATAATCCACAGTGAAATTCTGCTAAGTATTGAGGAGCAGATATGATATAGTAGATGGGTTAACTGTTGGAATATGATTTACATTTAAGGAAGGTTGTATTGGAGTTGGTTCTTTAGCAGGAGGAGTGAAATCTTCACGATTGAGATCTGAAGTTGCTGAAGGAAAAATGGAAGGAGTGGAATGTTGTTTATAACACCTCACAATTCTAAATCAAATATTAAAATATTAAATGAGAATTAAAGGGAAGGATTAGTGAAAATCCTGAAAAATAGGCCAAAATACAAAGAAAGGGCAAAACGGTAATTAGCAAACACGCAAACCCTAGGCATATAAAAATTGAGTTGAAGGTCTCAGATGATAAAAATAACCCTGGAAATGGATTCAGAACGAAAAATTGAGTGGATATGCAAGTTTCGAAAAATTTGATGAATAGTGATTTTTCCGGTGTAAAATACTACGGTATAATTGTACCGATAAGCGTGAAAAGATAATTAGTATTTTTAGGAAGTAAAAATATGGCGTGGACGAGAAAAATACGTAGGTTATGAATTGGTGATTTAAATTAGGTGATTGATTAAAGTTAAATCGCATGTGGGACCCACCTCACTTAAGTGGACCTTGCCACTTGGACAACACCACAAATCTGATTTTTCTCTCTCCTCCTCTCTCCTCCTTCCTCCTCCAAACCGTGCTTGCCTTCCATGGAAGGGGAGATTTGCTTCCAAAATTTCTTTTCCTCATAACTCCTTCAATACACCTCCGAATCAAGAAAAGTTTGTGAGCAAAGTTGTTGAAAATCATCATCCGAACACAACCCACCGATTAGTTTCCCTTGAAACCCTCTCATTTTTTAGAAAAGGGCCAAAACCAGCCACGAAAATTGGAGGGATTTTTGTGATTTTGGAGTTGTGTGTTCAAGCCATTGCTTGGAGATCACTTGGAGGGGTCCTAGGCCAAGCTTGTGAGTATATTTCAACATCTCTCATGGATTAATTTGATGATTTATTTTCATGAACCCTAAAGAGGGCTTGGTTGATTGATGTGTTTAGAGAGCTCAAATGGAAAATGTTTGTACATGAATGTGTCTTAGAATAATGTGTAGTATCCATTAACGCAATAAAAATTATTGATGAAAAATGTGAAATTTTAACTGAGAAAAATTTTAGGATGTCAAGACTTTGAGTTTTGGAAATGTGTTAGGATTGGATTGATGAGTTGTGGCGTGATTGTAGGTTGATATAATGGGATTGTATGATGTGTGAAGTGGTTAAAATTGGATTGAAAATCTCTTGGAATTGCCTTGGTGCAATTCGGCCATGTAGAGGAAAAAGTGGGGGAATTGTGTTGAAAAATTATTTGAATGATGTGTTGTGTAATTAAATGGAAATTAGATGGGTTGTGTGGTGGTTGGAAGGTTGGAAATCAACGAAAAAATAATTGGTAGTGTTTAGTGTTAAA